GTTATTTTGAAGAATGTTACAATCATGGGAATTAGGAGAGGATTACAACTTGTGAGCTAGGAAAGGAAGTATTTGTATGTACTATTTTGCACTCTCGGAGGATTTGCAATTTCTTTTTAATGTTTGATTGAAGGTTTTAAAATTAATGTTCTTTTGAGCGTATATATAAAAATAAAAATAAAATGCCAAATTTAAATTCTACTAATAAGTCATTTTGAAATAAGATAGATTAAATTATTGAATTTATCCATATATAATATATGTAAAAAATCTGAATAGTCAAAATATGTACTAGATATAGGATATTAAATGAAAGGCAAGAAGAAAGGTCACAAGTTTCTTAAATAATGTTTTTTTTAAGTATGAATATTCTTTAATAATATAATTTTGTTGATGCATAAAATTGGTGATTCGATTATCAAATTTGCACCTAAACGGACAAAACCTGCCAGATAAAAGGATGAGGTTTGAAAATTTGTTATAAATAACCTTTGAATTGTTGGTTGACTAAATTAAGATATGTATGACACTTAACTTGGAGACTTGTTAAGGATTCCACATTGATAAAAGCCTTAAGAATGGTTTATAATAGACATGAGCTACTTCTCTCATTGCCAATTGATTTTGAGATGGAACCCATGAATATTAATAAGACCTAGACTAAAGTGTGTTTGGAAATGATTTTGGTATTACTAAAATTACTTTCCTAAAATTGGTTTTATGATACTTTAAAAATCAATTAAAAGTGATTTTAAACTTTACTAAAATTAATTTTTTTTCTAATTTTATAAATATGATTAATTTTTTTTTCTAATTTTACAAATATGATTAAAGAAAATGATTTTGATCCTGAAATCCTAGGAATGGACTTGTCAATTTTTTAAAACTATTTTTTGGCTAATGTTGATGCTCTCCCTTCCAGCCATGCTGGTCGCCGCTATTCCTTCATAGTTCGTCACTACTTCTGTCACTTTCCACTGACGTTTCCTCCTCTACCAACCTTAGGGACTAGGGAGACCCCAAACCTCAAGGATAGAAAAATGTATTTTACATATAAAAGTTAATCCTAAGTTTGTATATATTATCTTACCTAAACAACTTAATGTTGGTTTAATTAGACCATTTTTTTCAGTACAATTGATTAAGACACCTATCTCAAATGAATAAAGTCGTGAGTTTGAATAAGAGAAAATCATGTAAATTTAAGTATTATGTATATTTTAAAAATTGTCAGTACATTTATTTTATTTTTTAAAAGGTCACAAGTTTGGATAATTTTTCTTTTATATAATTCAAATCAAATTAGCTTATTTGTGTAAAATTTTAAACAATATTTAAGAATATGCCTTTTAATTTATCATTAATGTAATTACCTCTTTTAATTATTTTTAAGTACAACATGTGGAGTTGGAATTCAAACTCACCATCCAAATTTAAATTTGTTGGTTTAAGTTAGGCTACCTTCTCCTGTAATTATTATAAGAAAAAGATTGGACAAATACACCATTTACATGTGTACGTATAAAATATATATTAAAACAACCAAAGAAAAGGCAAATATATTATTGAGCACCAAAAATACCATAATTACTGCCTTGACATTCCGAATCACCAACATTTATTGCCTGAAATAAAAATTTTCTGCCACAATTTTTTATGACAATACACCATAATTTACAAATTTACAATTTATTCTTTAATTTAATTTAGGAGTGGTGAGGATAAGATTAGTTACTATTGAAGCTAAGTATTTTTTTTTTTGAGATGCAAGAAAATGTCAAGTGAAATAAGATTAAACAAAAAATAGTTATACTAATTAATTTAAAACTAAAACTAAATTAGCTAAATAAATAAATAGAGAAACAAAAATTAAGATAACAATTTTTTTTACAATTAACTGCCAATAAATAATTAATATTAAAGATCAAAGTAAATAAAATTAAGGCTAAATATACCAGATAATCCTTAATTTTTTGAGGTAATTCTCAATTTCCTCCTCAATCTTTCTGAAATTTTCATTTTCTACCCCTAATATGTTAAAAATTATCAATTAGATCATTTCATATCAATTTTGTTAAAAAAAAAGTAAATATATGATTAAATTATTATTATATTAACATATTTGAATGCTGAACATACCACTACATGCATGAAACTCACTTCTTCATTACCAACACGAGCATATAGCCTAACGGTAATTGACATGTACTCTTTTCTTTAAGGTCGGAAGTACAATCCTCCATATCCCCAGAAAATTATATTAAGAGTAAGGTTGAAAATTTTAAAAGACTACGTTCAAAAATTAGGGACAATAGCTCGGGTAATTGGCATATATCTCAAATCAAAAAGGTTGTGAGTTTGATCTGGCATATGTTGTACTGAAAAAAAAAAACTAAAACTAGATTCTGTCGAATTCGCACCAATTAACACCGGTGTGGTGCTAACTCATACGCAAGTTAGGAATTTGAGGTTTGTCGAGTATTGAGAATAGGGTTTTCAGCGTACGTTTAGGGTTTAGTTTGCTCTTCTATTTTTAGAGATTCAATCATGATGCCCTTAGGAAACGTACCCTTCTAGGCTTGAGCATTTTGGGGCCAGATGTCGAATTCAAGGACCATTGCCCCATAGTAGGATTTTACCAATGTTGGAGTAGGTTCGGGCCATTGAATGAGCATCGTCGGAATTCTCGACCGATTGGTTGAGAATTGTCTGCAATGGATAAGCATCGTCGAAGTTCTCGACTGGTTCGAGACAAATTTTAAATTTATTAGATGTGGTTTTAAAAATTTCAATTTAATTTTGTAGATTAGATTTAATTTCAATTTCACTTATATAATTTTAAAAGTTTTAATTAAATCTGTATAGTTTAGACTTAGTTTCAATTTAATTGAGGTGGTTTGACTAAATCTCATCAGACATCTCCTTAATTGAGTTTTACCCACATGAAAAATCTATCTATTTTCTCTATCTATTTTCTTTTATTTTTCTCACTTTCCTAAACTTTAACAGAAAAATGCTACAAATAATTTTTCAAAGCTACAATTATTATTATAATTTGGAAAAAAAAATCATGAATTGTATGAGATTATTTATTTCGATTGGAATAATTAGATAAATTGAAAATTGAAAAACATTAGAGGTGGGGAATCAAACTATCCCCTCTTGAGAAATAATAAATGCCTTATATACTAAATCATACTCGAGTTGATTGTGTTTATTTTAAACGAGTATTTATTAGTTCATAACACCCAAATTTGATCACTTTGAAAGGAGTGGACATAACCGAGCTATTCAGAGCGATGTATGCAAAAGAAGACCGGCGAGAACAAACACAATCAAGTTAGTAAGAATCTAACCAATAGCTATCAGAATGAGGAATCAAAATGTCTACCTCCATACATAAATGAGTCTCTATTTATAGGTGGAAGGTGGTGGGTTTCACATCTCCGATTGCGCAGGATACTTTAACATCGAGCGTCTCAAGGTCATCAATGGTCATCCGAGCTATATAGAATCACTAGCTCGACCACTACACATTTTCAAGAAATGTCACATGAGACTATCTTTTTTTACTCCACGTAATAGGTCGAATTTTCCCTACAATAATATTAAAATTTCAAAGACTTTTTACTATATGACTCATTAATCAGTTAATTTACTCTACTTAGCAATAGAGTGTTACAACTAAGGTTTCAAAGCTATTGAAATCATGAACATGTAGATCTTATAATGTACATACCTTATTATATCATAATCCATCCCAAAAAAAAAAACAACCACATTATCATTAATTCTTTAAAATCAGCTTTGAAACAGAACATAAAATCATTTTAAAAACCAATCTCCCGATCAAGTCCTAATTATAAGACTTTTCTTATTAATTTTTAAATCATTTGGCATTTGTTGGTAGGGTAAATTAAAAAAAGAATAACACTCCCTATCTCAACTCTGCAGAATTCTTTCGACTCGCTACTACCAAAAAAAAAAAATCTCTCTTCTCTATCTTTTTTCTACCCACTCATAATTCATACAGCTCATCATTCACATATTTTATCATAGCCCTTTTCGATCAATAATCCAAAATATTGTTTCAACTAAATAACTACCAATTACTTGTTTAATTGACCAAAAAAATTAATCAATAATTAACAAAAATTCAATCACCAATTATTTAGTAAATTCCCCAAGTACAGAAAAAAAAAATTATCTCCTTTCAAGTTCAACAAAGGAACAAAGGCAAGGAATAATGGTAGGATGGAAGATCAAATAATCAACCTTTGGAATGACAATAAATACTCATCTTCAAATGAGTTGAAAAACAAATTATTGTAATAATATGCAAGTAAATATATAAATAGCTGAGGTCATAATAGCTGAGGTCCTAAAACGAGGGTAAATTTTTAGTAGTAGCACAAAATCAATCACCAAAATTACCATATTTACTGCCCTAAAGTTCAGGAATCATCAGCATATTCGACAGAAATGGAAAAAAAAATTTCTATTAATTGAAGATTTTCTGCCACCAATTTCACTAACAAATAAAAGCTTTCCCATTAACTACACATAATAAACTACTTATAATATTTATTATATATGATAATTATATCAATGAAGCACAAAAAAAAAAAAAGAAAAAAAAAGAAATGGGTGACACTACGGGGGGAGGGGGGCTCTTAGGATTCTACCTCTAAATTTACAATTTGAGTTACCCAAATTCGAAAAAATCTACAAAATCTTACGCCAATTTTGCAATCAAAATAGGCCCCCCACTAGCAATTTGAATTGCATTTTTCTAAATCCTAGCAACAAAAAAATGAAGGTGAGAATGTGTAATTAATTATGGAATTTTGGAATCTCACCTACATGGATTAGGGCTCTGCAATTTGATAGCTGCGTTAGAGTTCTTGGTCTTGCAGATCCGAATCCTTCTCTGTCTCGCTTGAGCGGCCTTGATTTTGGAGTAATTCCTCTGAGCGAATTCTTCGAGAGAGATGTTCAAGTCGGGGATTCCGATTGGGCCCAATGAGGTATCGTACGGAGGGATTTGGAAACTCTGGCTCGGTTCTGGCGTCTGATTCTTGATGGACGGTTGCGGATAATGACGATGACGATTATGATTCTGTTTTTGTTGTTGTTGATGTTGATGATGATGATTCTCGAGAGTTGGAGAGGAGGATTTGACAGTGAGTTGAGCGATTTCCATGGCGGAACTTGAACTTCCTGTTTCTGGTTGCGGAGAACCGTTGTAGAAACTCGGCATCATCTGAAGACGAACAGAAAATGTAATTAGATTGATTTATGATGCAAAAAGAAAAACAAAAACCTAAAGATAATGAAATTGGGGACTGCAGAGTTCCAAGGAGATAGAGAGAGAGAGAGAGAGAGAGAGAGAGAGAGAGAGAGAGAGAGAACCTTTTGCTTTTTCGCTTTCAACTCCGAATTGATGGTTTTGAGATGATTGTAATGGCGCTTCACAGCCTCAATTTCCTGTTTCGATTTCAATGCAGAGAAAATTTTTAAGAGAACAAGAAGAAGATAACATTTCTGAGGGTATCGAAACAAAACTGGAAAAGGACAAAACGAATTGCAGCACCCAGAAAAGGGAAAAATGAAAATAAAAAATAATAAAAAATAAAAAGAACTAACCCCTTCCAATACTCGCTTGCGCTTGGTCAATTCGTCAATGGCTCCCAGATACTCCGTTTTCTGATTCCAAGATCCAAAAAGCAAAACAACACGACCACAAAATCAACAACACGAGCAACAGAATCGCCTCACAATAGGTCAAAAACAAAAACAAAAAAGCTCCAAGAAGAGCGATTAAGAAAAAACCGGGGGAGAAATCAGAGAGAGAGATGGACCTTGTTGAGAGAGGGTTTCTTGATGGAGCGCTTGGTATTGTCGTCAGATTCGCTCGGCGAAAGGGAGGAGGAGTTGAGGAG